ATTATCACTATTACAGTAACTTACAACATTGATGATAAAGGAAAACTATGGCATGTTATACTTAATTCAAATATAAAACTTATGTTCTCAGGAAAGCAATCATATAATTACATTTGTTCTAAACTGTAAACTAACATGTAACTCGAAGTTAAGTGAAGCCCAAGATTCATTTTTTTATCGTAAAAACTGTGGCCCAGTTATGGTTGAACCCAAAGCCTACAAGAAAAAATACAAACTGGAAAATATGTCAAATTCAAAAATTAAAAAAGAACCAACCAGCTCTTATGTTTTTAAACTTGGCCCCCGACCAAAATGAGTTTGACACTCCTGTCAGACCATGCAGTGACTCCAACCTGTTTTACTTCATTCAGAAAATGAACTTCAACCATCAAAGTTTTGCACACACACAACACATATACAAACAAACAGGTTTAAGAAAGCTAAGAATGTCAACACTTACTTCCTACTTTCACAGATCTGGGATATCACCTTGAATATTTGAACCAAGTAAAGACAAGCCAACAGATCAGTGTGAGTGTTGGTGATTGGTGCTGGGTGAGCATGAGTGGCTGAGAGTTCTGTCGGGGTGTGCTCCTACACTCAGCATTAGGAGCTCAGGTGACATTCATGTGAGTGACATCAGAGGCGGCGGCAGCACAGTGGCATATGGTAACCGCCTGCTAACCGCAAAAACTTGACATCAGCGCAAACAAGTCAGCCAAGCATCCCTAGTACGTGCTCTTGAGAGGGTTTGGATTGTCAGCATGTGCAGAGATAATAACACCTATCACAGCCTTCATAATGTCGCATAATAGAACTACACAGCTAGAACTAGTACAACAGTCAGACAGATTGTGACTGGATCAGTGTAGGAACAGCAAGAACTATATATTGATTAACTATCTATTTGCATATTTAATTTAATAATGAATAGTAATTGCTATGTTTTTTGGGGATGAATGAAGGTCTGATTCTGTATATTTTTTTATTTCTTGCTCCAGACCACTAGATGTCATATTCACGCCTGAGCGCATAACTGCAGTCACCAAGCGCTTCATTTATCAACCCTGGAGTACAACTGTGGGTATAATCTGAAATATTATATCACTATTTATGTTCTTTCTGCCGTGAAAAAAAAATAATCTAAATGAGACGATTTAGGGAGTGCATAAACAGCTCTTAAATTACAAAACTTCTGATGACTTAATGAAAGTAGAATGATTTAGGCTTTGAATTCTTTTATTACATTTAGGTCATATTTTTTCCAACTCATTAGAAGACTAAGGCAATTACTAGAGTTACTGTTTGATTCTCTGATCTGTTCTTGGCAAATCCACAACTTTGTGAAGTTCTCAGAGACGAGTGCTATTGTGATTTAGGGCTAAGCAAAAATCAAAAAAATGTATAGTCAGCCAATACAAACTATAGAAAACATGAACTAAACTCAAAAGAATCAACAAGAGATTAAATAAAAAAATAAAAAATCTTCGCTAATAGGAAAGAACCCCGCTCTGCAGCCATGACAAGGCGAATGAACTCCTTGATCCCATCTGTACTTATTGCCTGCCCATATGCACAGAGACTTTACCATAAACTACTCTTTTTTTTGCTTTAATATACATTCAAACCCATTTCATTTCAGATGAGGCACCCTCAGAGTAACCTTGTGCTGCAAGATAACTTCTTTATTGTAATTTTAAAAAGTAGACCTTATTTTGAGGCTATACATACTGTACATGTTGTGAGCCCGGTAAACCTTTTATATGTAACATTTAAGTTTGTATGTTCCAATCACATATATGTTCAAGCTTCTTATGCATGTTATGTAAACAACGACAGGTTGATGCTAATGATCACTTAGAATATCTTTAAGTCACACAAGTATAGCAGTTAAAATGTGATAAACTTAAAGTATGCAGGAAGAGTAGAGACTCCCTCCAGCATGTTTCTACTCCGTTCAAAAACAAAAGCTGCAGCAACACAATTACGAATAAGAAATGTTGCTGTTTTCCTCTAACCCCAATGTTCCCCTAGAACCTTGGTAACCCCTATTTAAGCTCTAAGTTCCTGCACATCGATCAAAGTGGGGAGCGCCCAGTCCAGGATCATGACACTAGCGCTGGAGAGCTTAAAGCAAGCTTCCACTCTGACCTGAAAAGATGCTCGCTGCATGATTGTGTGTGTCTCCTTCGTGTGCGTAGTGCAGTGTAAATTCCCAGCCAGTCACCTATGTTCACCCCTTGCTCCTTGCAAAACTCAATTTCCTCCTAGTTCTTCCCAAGCTAAGCACTTTTTAACCTCTGCTGCAATGGAGAATACTTATTGAAATTTCTAAGAAGATGAAAGAAGAATTAAGTACAATGTGTGTGGTTTGTATGTGTAATTTAAGTCGGTGTTTGAAAGGCTAGAAGATTTAACTGCACATGTTGATGAATTATACCTATTATTGTCTGAGATGTGGTTGTGTATGTGAGTGCTGTCCAAAGAGGAGTGTTCCCATGGAGGGAGCGAAGCGGTATCCACCACTCTACGCCTGGGGCCCTCTGGATGAGAGACTAAACAAAACCTTCCCAATGGGACATGCACACAGCGCCTCTAGCAGCAGATGACCTACTCCCCACCTCACATATGAACACACACTTTCAGAAACACACAGAGGATACACGTTTTGATGATTCAATTTCATAATTTCATGCGTTTTGCAATAAAGTTTCCTAGATAGATCACAACCTTCTAACCGTATATAAGTTCAGGTTAGATTGTTATTCTCAAGAGGCACTCCTACAAGTTCATATTCAGTAATAGCTGAATCATGTGCTTGTATAAGCTCTAATCCAACAATGAAAGCCTGAGGAAGAACATCACGGTATCTTCTTTACATCGTTTTGTGATTGACAACTGAATGCAGCTACTCAATGAGACTACAATCAATACTTTGCTGTGAGGTGAGTACAACTCAAGACAGCATGTTCAGATATCAACAATTACCCAGAGCACATGAGCTACACCAGTTGGTACTTTTAAGTATCAGATGCTTTACAAAAAAGTACTATCTGTTTTCAAAAGTACTTCCTGTTTTCAAAAGTACTTTCTGTTTTAAAAAAAAACGTTAGTACTTTTTGTTTAGGACTGGGGACACAACAACAAAATAATGTTTTCACTCTTTCTGATCAATTTTTAATTTGGCCCGTGGAGCCGAGCCTTTGGCGGGTCTGGCCCCAGTAATTATGGTGTGTTATTGACAGCTGCCTTCCTGCGGGAGGCTATTTAAAAAAGGTTTAACCTCCAAGCAGGTCCGGGCCCCACACCCACCTTTGAGGGTGTCAAGTACATTGATCTGAGCTGCAGGACGTGCTGGGACCTCCCGACCTGTAGGTGTGTGCAAGTAGCTCTGAGGGTTACACTTACAAGGCCATAGCAAGGTAGAGAATCATTTGACCCTTCCACATATCCACACACTTTCCTCTGGCTAAAGCTGCATTCAATGACCTCTCATTGGACTCAGCCTCCACCTGATGCTCACATACAAAAACTGTATTAACTACAGATATACAGATGCATTTTGCATTATACAAATTATACAAAGACAGCAAGTCATTTATGTGTTAACCATTTGAGAAAATACAGTATTTCATGACAGATTAGTGAATTAAAACCATGAAATCATAATTCTCTACACATGTTATAAGTCAAACCACATTTTATTGAGTTTAAAGGAGAATACTAGACCACCAGCATTCAACTTCAGTTTGAAAACTTAATAACTTCAGGCTAACTCAGCCAACCAAACTAAGGCCAGACAGAATAAGTAACTGAGTGAGCTCACCTTTCAATAGATTTCCTCCCTTTTCACTTATGATTGTGTGGCCTCCCAATGCCCAGACTCCCTGTGTCTCCTTCACTGCCTCCAACTAACCCCTTTTTTCGAAGCCCCTTGGCACCCTCCACCTCCACTGTCTTAGTCTCAGGATGCGGCACATTGACAGGGCCAGAAGGTAATGATACAGCTGCCATGATGCAACAAGCAGACCTGTCGACTGTCAGGAATTGAAATCATGAAGGAATAAGCTGTCATTAAGAGGCCCTCTCCCAGTAGCGGAGCTGTCAGACGCCTGCCTTCTGCCTACTCTCTCCCAATACACTCCCATCTCTCCTTTGCCAGTCCCCACCCCATTTGCAGTCACTCCCTCTCCCTCTCTTTCGCCCTGCTTCATCCCCCCCACCCCAATCCCCTTATTTTCCCCCTCTGTCCATTTTCAACCAATCATAAGCTTTCCCTCCACTCCTTTATTCAATCTGGTGCCAGCTCCCCTCACCTGTCATTTTATCTTTGGGTTAAGGGAATTGTATTAATTGTTTGTGCACAAACTGTGAACGGGAGACATTTATCGACAATGTAACAAAAAGCACTGTACAATTCTGCTAGCATCTATAATTTGTAATTATCGCTACAAAGCATGTCTAAACAAAGAAATGGCAGAGGGAGCGTCATGAATGAATCATAAGACATTTTAAATCATGTGTACTTCTTTTATGTGGGTTCCCAATAAAAAATAAAATAAAAAAAACTTTGTTGTTAATTTTTTTAATTAAACATACATTGGCAATGATGTCCACAAGGTTATCTAGATTATCCAATCAGAGAGCAGAATGTGTTTCTAATTTGGGTTGCCATTTCTGGCTAAACCCCAGCAGGTGTTTTGCATCTGTAATCAGTGCACATGTGTGTCACAGGTAGTAACATTCTGGCAACAAAAGTTGGACAACTAAGAGTTTACATACGGTCCCTTTAAGAGTGTATTTAAGATCATGTGTGTCTGAACATGTTGTTTTCTCATCCAAAATTAGAGAAAATGTATTTTATATCCATTAATTGTTAATAATACTGCTTCCAATTATCTATTTTTCACTCAGTTAGATTCTCATTAAAATTAAGCAAGATCAAAAGAGAGCATGCCTTTAATGTCTAGAAATGCATTTTCTTTTGTTGTGCACATTACCTGTATGGCTCTGGTGATGAAGGGGATCTGTGTTCCTGAGTCCAGGTCCTGGTTGATGATCAGTCTGCGGGCCCACTGTCCGGCCCGCACCACACCACTGCCCTGAATCAGCACCAGCAGCTTGGACGGGTTTGATAAGGCATCATTCGTCACATAGATAAAACTGGTGGGCTCTTCCTCTTTTGCATCGATCTGAGAAAATAATATTTTTCTATTCTCATGTATTAACTTGTTTATGTAACCAAAAAAAGGAATGTTCAAGCCCATCAATACAATTTCAAAGATAAACTTAACACAATAAAATGTGTAATATATATATATATATATATATATATATATACATATTTTTTCAATCTTTCATATCATTAACTTCATATTTTAGAAATAACCTCAATATATTACACACATATATATATATATATATATCAAACATATGAATTTAATAACTTGGAATTGGAAAATCAAATGAAGCTGTTAAAGCTAATTTCCATCTGTACTCCCATAGTCACACTCACATGCACAATCTTTCCCAACAAATTGTACATGAATTTAGTGGAAAGGGAAACCGGAGCATTTGGAGGAAATGTATGAACATGCAAACTCCACACAGAAAAGCCCTGTCTGGAGGTGGAATCGAACCTAGGACCTTAGCTGTGCAGCACAAGCACAAACCACTGAGCGACCCATTGTAATATTAACGTACGCGTTTGTTTAATGATTTTAAATGTGCTGATCTTATCTCGCACAAGAGCCTACTTTTCATCACGCATTCACAAATCTGTGTGCCTTTGCTTCGGCAATAACAGAAAAGTGTTCATAAAAACCAATGGGTGGCAAGAGGGAAAAAAGGCAAGACTGAGAGAAAATACTATTCCCTCTCATTTTTCTTGGTGGCAGTTAATGTTCCTAAAATCTGCGGTCACAAGTTCAACATCATACAGGTGGACAATGGCCCACTGCTAATACTCCCATATACAGTAGTCATATGGCGTGTGGGCAGCTGAAAACTTGAACAGAGCAATTTTCTAGAGGAATAATGAGATAAATAGGGCAGGTAGATAAACCTGTAAAAGTGTATGGGGGCTAATGAAAGGCACTGTGTCTCTGGCTTGGTGATTTATGGACACTGTTAGCGCCGGAGCTGCTATGCACTAAACACCAGCTTGAGCCAACCTACCTATAACTGCAGCCTGAAAAATTATCACATGATTTATAAGGATTGAAAATAAAATGCCGGGACAGGGAGGTAAAAGGGGACAAAAACATGCTTCAACAACAAATAGAAAGTAGCGAGTGGGTGCTCTGTGGATGAAAGCACTGATAGCAAAACAGGACTTATGAAAAGACACAGTATAACAGAATTCAGAGACAAGATATTATTATGAGAACGGCCATAGTGGGCTTTGTAGATTGATTGGTCAAGGGATCTATCGTTGTTAGTATTTCAACTACAGGAATTTATATATAACAACTGCAAACAATAGAATATATGGAGCAACACAGCTGAAGATGTTGCTATTTACTTTGATATTCAAGTCAAATCCAACTCTCCATTCCAACATTTGTTTTAAAAAGGTATCTTTAAATATGTAAGTGGGTTTATTTGCTGACATAATATTTTGTGAGTTCCGTTTGGGTCCGGTACGTGATCATTTAGACCATTTTACCTGCTCCATATCAGTCGCATATGAATATGTACTTACAGGTATGTAAATTCTTCGCATGTTGCACTGTGTTTCCAGCAGCTCATAAACATGCTGAGTGATAATCTGTAAAATGAAAGGAAAATTATTAGACGGTTACTTTCACTCAGACAAAGCTATCTCGATATAATTCAGTGGACATCAGACATTTGCAAACACTGTGAAAGACATGGTTTCTATTAAATATTTTACTTAGTCGAGAAAGTCGAAAAAGACCTGAAATTTGGGATAAAGAGTACATATTTTGTTTGCATATTTGAATATTTGGTTTCTACTGTATAAATTACTCAAAGTCAAAGTATTTTTCAAGTATGTATCACATCCCTTCCCGCTGAGCCAGAGCTGCAGGACAATGTCTTAGCAACTGAGCAGTACAGCAAGAAAAGCCTCTTTGTCACCTAATTACCTGTGTGTTATTAGAGCTTAATGAAATGCCAGCAGGAGGCTACACAAAGTGATTTTACTAACAACTATACAGGCTTAATGCATCAGACACTGATGCATCAACTCACCCAAGTGCAGTTCTCATTTTGTATTGTACAAAATGAATCATTATTTTGTTTGAATTTTGATTGATTACTTAAAAGTTATCCATTTCACTAAAACACTAAATGATTTGTTGAAAAAGTGAGTCAAATGTACCTCGTAACATATTTTTTCCCATCTCAACTCTAATCTGTTAAACTGGAACAGTCCACAGAAGATGTCCCTCAGTATGTCCATAATGAAAATCACCCGTCTGATAATGCCACAGAGACATGCCCCGAGACGTCACCATACGAGTTTGTGCGAGCCGTGTATCTGCTATCATGTTCTAGATTCATCTTTAGAAAAGGTTGGCGGACAAATACTCAAATCCTCAGGCCCAGAAATTTAAAGGCTGCGTTTTGTGCAGCCTGAGCTTAATAGTGTGCAAATCACCTGAAAAATGTCCAGACGTCCCATGAGGAAGGACAATGTGCAGAGAAGGAAAAACATACTTAATATATATTTTGGGAGTCAGCTCATCAATGGAGCGACATGAATCTAGGCATGAATAAAAGTACTTATACCATGGTCAGTAAAAATTCCAATGCTCACTGTTTCACATTATTTTCACATTACCAATCAGCACATAGATTCGTGGATTCTATATCACTTAAGGTGTCGGTTTGGTGAGCTCAGCCGTGTGCTTTCACCAGCACGACCAATAGTGTGTCACAGGATGTATGGACATTTGCTCAAAATGGGCTCCATCTGTAGGAAAGACAACGTGGAGCATATCCTCCTCTCCAAGTCTGCCTCTAAAAACTCCTTACCTCTGTGCCAGCCTCTGACTGTGAACCGGTTACATTTGATAACTGCACTAATATAGAGAATACGACTCGGTTCACAGCATTGTGGACTTTATTCATTATTTACAGGAATTAAGCCTATGCATACATGCCCCAGAGCATCCCGAAACTTCCCTGACAATTTTGTTACCTCACTGATCCTGGTGTCTGTAAACAGTATGCCCACTAATCCTTAATGGACAGTATGTAATGTTTTAATTTGAAATTACACAGCCATCATTTATTTGGTCAACAGCACAAATAATATATACCCTATTCTGATTTAACTTAAATGTATTCTGGAGTTACAGGGCGACAGTAGCTCAGTTGGTAGAGCATTGGCCTTAAGCCCAGAAGGTCGTGGGTTCAATTCCCACCTCTGCACCTTCTCCACCGACTCCCACTGATGACTGCTGTCGTTGTGTCCTTGGGCAAGACACTTAACCCCACTTTGCCCAAAGCCCCCACTGAAAGATCAAGGCTATGCTCACAGTCAGAGAGCAGCCGTCCTCCTGTGGACTCACCACCTGCAGAGGGTCAGTGAGGGGCTGGTGCTATGAGACTTGGGTGGCATCTTTGACTGCCACCCCCCTGACCCAGAAATGGATTAAAGGGTAGAAAATGGATGGATGGATGGATGGATGGTATTCTGGAGTCAAAATAGAACAAACATGCTCACTAGATTATTTAGGTTAACCAATTATTACCCAGTAAGAAAGCAGAATTATAACAGCTTGCAAATCTCTCATTTAAATTGACAGTTTATTTAGAGAAATCCAGCCAGTTGGGGCTCTACCTAAACCCAAGTAGGTGGACTGCATCGGTAATCAAAGGGATACATGTGTGTGTGCTTTACATGCATGGGGCATTGGCAACAAAGGTCTATATTTGTAATGACTTTATTAAACCAGCAAGGGCACAAACGACATACTGTTCCTTTAATGTCCTCACATTGTCTCAATGACAAAAAAAAAAAACATCCAATAATCCTGTCTATATAAAACCTATTGAGAGTCAAACGTGCATGTGAGAATAAAAACACACATAACTGATGCACACACACCGCTTGTCTCACAAGTCCAGAGCCCTCTCCAAAAGCCACTTACCCATAAGAAACAGAGAGCATGGAGAGGCTTCAAAAGCTGTTTATATAATGAGAGTAAAAGAGCAGCCATATCACTGACTGCACCCAGGAAAAGAATTTCTCTTCTCCAGAGAATAGAAGGGGAAAGAAAGGAAAAATAAGATCCCCTTAAACAATACACAACAACAACAGATGCAACAGCAGTGAAGCACCCTCAGAGGCTGGATAAAATGATGTGCATGAGGCAATAGAAAGGTTGTTTATTCTAAGTCAGTCTTATGTACCAACAGTAAGTAGTATCAAAATAGGCCCCATTGTTGAGAATTTATAATCTGTCAATCCAAGAGGGAAACAAAGAGTGAGAGACTGTAGTATATCCCATGAGGTCTCTGTCATTCTTGTGTCAAAGGAAAAGAGCTTCCCAGGGGAAGACACAGTTCTCAGGCACTTACTGACAGACACACTGTTTACACTTGCTGACTCCTGTCCATAACATTCTGTCCTGTGATGACCTGCTCAAACACCTTATCAACAGAGAGCACAATTTGAATGTACATAATATGCATACATCAAATATAGTATTGCAAAAAAAATAAAACATGATTTTCATATAATTATTGTCAATATGTACCAATGTATCCTTTCCATTATATTCTCTCTCAAGTATATTGCACGTCACTCTTGCTCAGCCGGGTATATCTGCCTATATGTGAAGCTTCCTTCTCAGCAAGGGAAAGCTGAAGCAGCACTGATGAAGTCATGATAGGAGCCAGTGAATCAGTTTGGACATCTGTCATTTACACGTTCACATTAAAGAGATTCTACTAACTTCCAACAAAGAGCTCAGTGACTGAAAAAAGGCGTCATGATATTTTGAGGGTGCCGATATCACTTTTTCTTTTCTTTATTAAAACGGGTGAAAGCTCGTATAGTGTGTAAAACAGACTTGAAGGGCCTCATCCATGCATTTATCTCTAGTAGATTTGACAAGCTGTGAGTGTAAATATAATTTAAAGCAGCTCTGCTTGTGTGCAGGTCTCTCCATGGCCTCGCTCCACAGTACATCTGCGACATGTGAGTGCCGTATGAACCAACTGAGGAGCACAGGGACTGGCCTCCTGCTGGGCCTCTGAGGAGTATAGGGACTAGCCTCCTGCTGGTGCCCAGAGTCAGGACTACACATGAAGAGTCAGTGCTTCAGATTGATGCATCTAAGCTCTAGAACTCCTCCTAAAAGAGTGAGCCAAGCTTCTCCAATATCTATATCTGTTTTGTAAATCACGTTTCCCACGGTGAGGATTCTGAATAGCACTATACCAATTTTTGCATGTTTCTTTCTGGGGTCTAAAGTCTAGGACATCGGGGGAACTCTGCCGACTGAGACATTTCTTCAGGTTCATCCACTAAAAATTCTAACGGTCAGGTCCTTAAATATTGGAACATCAACAGCCTTGGCTCTATACGGCACCACAATGGACTGAAATATCTACAGAGCTTCATTTTTGTTTTGAGGGTATTAACAATGTAGCAGTTTTCTATGTGCACCATCAAGCAAAACATATAATCATAATCCACACATGCACTTTTTAAGTAAGTAAGTAAGTCATCTTTATTTATATAGCGTCTTTTACAGACCAGAGTCACAAAGCGCTTTACAATTTGTTGTTTTTTGGGCATTTCGTCTCACACTTGATACAGAGATGGGAGCGGGGTCGTCATACAGAAGGAGCATGCCACACCTGTTTTTACCTGTTTTAAGCATAAACTGTAAAAATTAATAGACATAGCCACGCCTATCTCTGCCGTTCTAACTAAACCAAAAATAGTGCTCTACTGGAGCTATCCAAAATGGCCGCGATTGGTCCCGCCCACAAGAAAATTGTGAAAAAACGCATCTGCGCATGCGTCAGCCGGCGCAACTCATTTGAACGAGAGACTTCAAAAATTCACAGCAAGTAAACTAGAGTGGTCCATCCTATAAAGACGTTTTCGAGAGGTCTGCCAATGCTATATGTTAGCATTCTTATTCCGGGTCCACCCCCATCGGCCCGGGGTGGTATTGCAAGCATGTCAACTGGAGCACCCGGATGAACCTACAAACTGGAATCAAACCCAGGACCTTCTCGCTATGTGCACAAATGCTAACCACTGTGTCCATTTCCATTTCCCCCCAATTTTCCTGACTGTCACATAACAAAACCAAAATAAAGAGCAGAATTTGGAAAAAATAGATTAGATAAATTACTTGTACAACCTTTGCAACAACCAAAAACATAATTACGGCCAATAACGTACACAATTGAGAGACAACTCAAAGTTGGCTATTTTCAAACTGTAAGATCATCAAAAATGATTAAATACTAATGAGTTTTCGTTTAACTTTTTGTTTCGATAACAAATTGTGAAACATAACTGACCTGATTTTTTTCACAAAATAACCCACCCTGAAAAATATAGAACAATAACAACAGATGGGAAAGTTGAGCTTTTGACACACTTCTCACAAAAAGAACAATAGAAAATTTAGCTGACAGCGATTGTTCGAGCGGTAACCAAGCCATGAGGTCTAAGGAACTGTCTGTCATCCTTCAGACGTTGGGGAGGAACTATCCATATCACATGACCCTCACCACATTAATGATTATCCCTGATAACTGACATCTACTGGT